AATGCCCGCGGCAAGATCCACCCATGAGCGGCCAGGACTGTTCGCTGTTGCAATGCTGCATGGAAACATGAAGTCCTTCAACGCGAAGTAGCATGTGCTCAATGAGGATGCCTCCTGCCACGGAACGGTGCCGGTTTTATGTTTACAGACAACGCTAATGTTCATCGCCTGGTAGCCCTGCTCCATTGACTTCTTCACCTTGGAGCGAATGGCTCTGCAATGTTGCAGGAATCCAGGGTCTGCAGCTATCGCCTTCATTATAGAAGGGTGGGAACCCACATGATCTCGGAGGCTTGTATCTCGCTTGCGATCTGCGAGCTCAGGATCCAAACTCCTGGCATTCGGCAAGTATGTCAAGTCAAAGAAGATGCCGGCGAATGCGCCTCCGAGTTCAAGGGTAGCCTCTGCCGAGCGCATCTCACTAAACGTGTCAGCGAAATGCTGTGGCTCCCAAGCGTTGCGGATCTTATCGACGACCTCCTCGAAGTTGTAGCCGAAGGTAAAAATGTCCGCGGCGTGCTTGGGATTGTCTCCTCCCTCGGTGGGGAAGGTCTCTGAGTTCAGCTGCTGAGGCCTCGCCTTAGGCGCGGGGCGCTGTGAAGGTGCGATGGCCATGGCTGCTGTCAAGTTTGTGTTCTCACCTTGGGGTTCACTTAGAGAGTGCGTCTGCATTGAAGAGGCCTTTCGTTTGGTGACCTTGCCGCTTGCGCACTTATCCGAACCCTCTGCTGCTATTGCTCGGGCAGCACCTGCAGGTGGCGGTGGGATCGCAAATCCTCGAACAAGGCGGGGTTGTTTCCCTTGCAAGAGACCGTCGGTTAGGCAAATGCAAAGCAAACCTGAGTCTGATGTCCGATGCAACTTGAGTTCAATGGTCTTGTCGGGGTTCGACGGGAGCCTTACGGAGCACGTCCCTAAGTGTAGGTCTTTTGCCATCCCAAGTTAACTCTGGGCATGGAGCGACAATAGGAGGGGTGCCCCACCAGGGATCTCATGGGAGTCTAGCGCCCCACACAATCTTTTCCTATGGGAACCTCCTCGCCCTCAACTGGATCCAAGGGCAAAAGGCAGAAAGGGAAGGTTCGGGTCCCAAGCGTGGAAGTGGAACCACTCAAACCCTTGAAGGTCTTGGAAGTCTCCTTCACAAACCTCGTGGAATACCCAAAGCTCGCATACTTGGACATGCTCTCGTGACCCCAATCCTCGCCATGAACCGTTGAGTTACACCCTTCATCCAGGACTGCGAAAACGTGTGGGGATGTGCGAATGTTAACCACAGGGAGTTTGCTCAAACTGGGGTTCGTGTCTGTGACTCCCTCGTGTGGTCCAGCAAGCATGGCAACCATTGCTGTACCAGGCCTTCTTCCCGATGAAGCCATCTCCCAACTCGCGCTCGTGGGGCTCGCGTCATCCGCATGATCGTCCAGAGCCTCTTGAAGGTAGGCAAACAAGTCTCCCCTCGTTATCGAAGGTTCGGTGACGAAGTGACCCTCAACTGCCTCCTTGAATTGTTCAAGGGCTGGTACGACCACTTCTACAGGCACTCGGTCCCCTGTTCTGCCCACTATAGAGCGCATCATGTCGAAGTCTAGGGTGTTCGTGTCTCGCAGCTGTGCTGCGGCTGCGTCCCTAGCTTTCTTCTCCTCTTGGGGCAGTTCATCTAGGATCATGCCACAAAGTTTGCACTTGATTCGGCTGGTTGTCTTGCTGGAACCTGAACGATCTACCTGGGCATGCGTGCATGTGGTAGGGTCGGCCTGAACCTGTTCCTTGCGAGTCTTGGTTACCGTACCACAGGACTTGCATGTGCGCATGTCTATGTACGAATTGCTCCCTGTCTTGCTAAAGGTCTTACAACCACCCCTGCACTTGGGCCGGAAACCGGTACTGGATGAGGCGGTGACTTCGGCGTTGGCTGCGCGGTCAGCAACGGGAGTTGGGGGCATCATCGTACTAAGAGGGATGTCTCTTCTACGCACTTCTATGGGGTCCGTGTCTTCTACCACATAGTGCTCATGCACCCAGTTCAGGAAATCACCCAAACACTTGGAAGGACACTTCTGTGTTTGGCCCCAAAGGACATACCCAGGATAGGTTTGCAGCACTCGTTCATACGTCAGGCCTTTGTGATGACCAAAAGTGAACAAGGTGTCAGATCCTGGCGGTGGGCTGTCACGCATGGCAGTGGCTTCCGATCTGCGAACACGAGGACGCTCTGAGGGTCCTCCGCTCCTTTCAGCGGGATAACCCTCCATGTCTCTTGAAGTGTTGGAAAGGTGAATGGCAGGGGTCTCATCGTCCGATGCGTCACTCAATGCGGCAAGGTAGGCTTGTGAGGAGGATGCCATTCCGGGCTTCCCGGGTGAGGCGGACTTCTCTGCACCTGGACCACCCTTACTGGAGCCCTTAGGACCTCCGGGACTACCCTTAAACCTGCACTCAGCGTCGCCGGCCCAATGGCCGATTGCGCCGCACCGCAAGCATCGGCTTCAGCTCGGCAAGTTTGGCTTTCCTGTCAGCGATAGAGAGGTTGGAAGGAGGGACCTTACCACCCTTCTTACCGCCGAACTTACCAAAACCCTTACCTTTGTTACCCTTCACATTGGCAAGTGTGGTTTGGGCTGCGTATGCCAGCTGCAATGCTTCGGCGTGCTCCTCGCCTGGCTCGCCTCCAAGTTCTGTCTGCATAGCTGTATATGCATTGAGAGCCATGGCTAATGTGCTGTCATCAACCCATTCGCCTTCGTCTTCCTCGACCTCATGCTCCTCGGCTACATAGGCCTGACTTTCTGGCTCCTGGCACTCATACTCGTCATCCTCCATGAAACCTTGTGTCATGTAACCGTACCGAGGCTTCTGCTGAAATGAGGTATTCTCCCACCGGGGCTTGGACCATGTTCTAGCGACAGGCTTGTCTTTCTCAACGAGCAAGCGTTCACGCATATGCACAACACTATGATGCTTGATCAGTACGCGCGCATACTCATCTACTGTCTCGGCCTGTGCTGCGGTGCGCACCATGAGCTGCTCTTGGCGCGACAAACCAGACAGTTCCACGAGGAGATTGGCACGCATGGCTTCTGACAACCTGACTTCTGGGTCCAATTCCCTTAGGGTAACCCACCAGCGCTTTCGCCGGGAAATGTAAGACAACATCGGCTCCCCTGATTGTTTGGACAAAGGACCTTGTCTGAACAATTCCGATGCCTCTTCCCCCTGCAAGGGAAATGCTTGGTCTTTGACCTTCTGAATGAGGAGATCAATGCCGTCGTGCTTCAACAACCTCTCGAGACCTATGTCTCGGGCGATAAGGAACGCGTCGCCGCGGAGGCCTTCCAGCGTCTTCTGAACTGCATCAGACATGTCAAGATCACTATCGCGGACCGAAGCGAGTGTGGGGACAGGCTCAGTCTCAACCGAAGCTTGCCCGTCGTCCTCAACCTCATAATCTTGTGGCTGTTGTTCTTCTTCGCCACCGTCTCCTGACGACATGGACTCCGCACCGGCCTGGCGGCCGCGCCGGCGTCCTGGGGCACTCGAAGGACTAGCTGCCATCCCACTGCTCTCATCACCTGTGTGACGGTCCGGGGATCTTATGCCTCCACCTACCCACTTTCGTGGGGATGCAGAACGGCTGAGTTGATGGCTGGAACGAAGGTCTTTCAAGACCTCTCGACGCTGCCTCTCACGATGCTGGGATACACGGGCACGTGTGCGAAACTCCCAGTCGTGGAAGGACGCTGCGGAGCCACTGTAAATGTAGCTTCCTGATTTGGTTTCTGCTGGGGTGTCAAGGCTAAGTACAGGGTCGTACTTCAATCCAGCTACCGACATGGTGTCGGATTTGCGCAGTGCAGTGGTCTATTGTAGACTGGCAATGCTGACGTTCTTTCGGCTTCTTGGCTCACACCCAAATCCCCCTTAGCTCTCTCTTCCGGACGAGATTGCTGCGAGGAATGAAAAACGTGTCACTGAGCTCCACAGCTCCGCTACCAGTTTCAGAAGCGGGGTACTGGGGCCGGAGTCACAGTGACTAGACTACGTAGCTTGCTTTTTCCGATTGAGCCCAAGGCGCCTGTCAAGCAGGAACTTGTCTCATGAATGCTATTTGACGCTTGCATGCTTGTTCATGCCTATACAAGTGTTCGTCTAACAGCTTCTGCACTATACGAAATCCAAGTCGGCGCTTGTGTACAGGAAAATCTCACAAGGGTTTAGGGTTTAGGGTTGAGGGTTGAGGGTTGAGGGTTTAGGGTTGAGGGTTGAGGGTTAGGGTATAGGGTTGCAAGCGGTCGTCATGGAGCGGCTGTCTGGGTTTGTCCTCTCTCGACCTATCTCATGCCATCAGAGCGAATCGACCAGGACATCACCTATGAATTGGGATGTTCTCCCTTATACCAGCAGTCCTTAATAGGGATTGCAATAGGGGGTACTATAATTTCTGTTAAGGCCCCCTGGTACTAGCAGTCCTTAATAGGGATGACAATAGGGGGTACGTACTCTACTTCCGATTAAGGGCTGTCAGAAAAAGGGGGAACATCCACACCTGTGATGTGCACCTCGGTGCTGGGTTTGGGCCGCGGGGACGTGGAGCGGGGGGGGGGGATACCTTTGCTTCAGGGCGGCTGCGGTTGACGCACTGCTCGTACTGTTTGTAACAGTCTCAATAGGGATGATAGTACCCCCTACTGTAATCATAAATAGGGGGTACTAGAATCCCTACTAAGGGCTGCGGGGATCGTTTTGGGGGCTGCGACGGGGTTGGGGTCGTAGCCCTGGCTCCCTTCACCGATGGCTCGACTCTTGAAGCTCATCTAAGATAGGAGGCAGCTCGAAAATCTCAGCCAAGAACCTAGCTAGGACAAACTTGAGATTTGAAGTACTTCTTTTCTAGTGACAGCCCAAGTCTATACCATTGAGGAACATTGACCCTAAGAAACTAGTAGATCGAGTTCACTAGCTGATGTCGGGAAAAGGCATCCTCGTCCTGTCTGCTGCGCCTCGCGCAGCTGTCTCCGTCTGCTCTGCGGCCACTGTGGCGACCGCCTGGAACCCCAAACCCTAAGCATCTACTGCAGGTCCAGGCGGCAAACTAACAATTGCTTAAGAAAGCACACCCCCCCCCCCCCCCCCCCCCCCCCCCCAAAAAAAAAAACGCTACAAATATTCTTCCTTATAGGGGCAATATATATATATATATATAGGGATTATTGTTTGAACATATTTGTTGGGGAGTTCTTAAGGACATGATAGTAATCGAAAACCTGCAGTCTTCTTTCGTGTCTTTGCTTTCGTGACGTCACTCCGGGACTTCGATTTGCTTAAGAACCCCAAAAGAATAAAACAAAAATAACTAATAATCCCTACAGTACCCTTAATAAAGAAGACTATTTTTTTTCTTGTTTTGGGGTTCTTAAGTTAGTATGGGAAGCTCGGGCGCGTTTATCGTGGATTTTGGCGGGGCTTCGAAGGGATTAGGCGGGTTTCCACCACCGAGCCCTTTGCTTCCCTAAGCCTATTAGTTACCCTAAACCCTAAACCCTAAACCCTAAACCCTAAACCCTAAACCCTAAACCCTAAACCCTAACCCTGGCTCAGGGTTCAGGATTTAACCCTGAAGACCAGACGCTCAAGCCTCGGCGCTCTGCGAAGACGATGGGCTTCCGTACTCGGGGCTACTCCTAAACCCTAAACCCTAAACCCTAAACCCTAAACCCAAAACCCTAATTGCCAACCCTCGCCTGGGAGAGATGCTAAGCTCTGAATCCCTGAAAGGCTGTTTGCCCTTGCGCCATATAGTGCAAATAGAAACCTAAATCTCCCCGAAACCCTAACCCCAAACCGTAAACCCTAATACCCGTCAAGCCCGGATCCCCTAAACCCATATATCTGAACATCCTATTACTAATACCCTAAAGCCCTGAAACCCTAAAACCCTAAACTTTGGATGCCAAGCGTTCAGGGGTTCAGGTTGGGATGTTCCCTCTTCTACTAAGAGTCCTTAATAATAGGGAATTATAGTAACCCCCCCAATTGTAGCCCAGTAGCCATCTTATGATAAGGGCACCCTTTTTTAGGGTTGGCCATTTTATGAGGGAAACCAGAACCCAAAAAAGGGGTCAAGGATAAACGAGCCGGAAGCCACACCCTTGCTTAGGGCGTCTAGCAGCCCCCTGTCGGACGGCGAGGCAGAGATGAGGTTGATCGACCTTGGGGGACGGAACTATGAGATCTCCCAACTCCAATCTAAGGGGTTTAGGGTTTAGGGTTTGGGGTTTGGGGTTTAGGGTTTAGGTTTAGGGTATTTTGGGGCTTGGTTTAGATATTGGGTTCAAGCTCTATAAGTCCGACGCAATTCAGAGCCAAGCATACCCCCCGGCAAGGAAAGAGGCGGGGCCATCCTTTCATTTCCTCGGAGGCCAGGATATGACACTGAGCATGGCATCTTGGTTGTCCAGTAACGGGCGAACTTAAGGTTAACCTTTGGGATTCTAAGGGGATTATACTACCCCAACAGGGTTAACGGTTACCTACTCTACTACTAGGGCCACTAGGGCATGATGCTGCTCAGTTCCGCTTCTCTGGGACTTTTGATTCTGGATTTCCTGAACTCAAGCCTCGAGGTCGGGAAGCTATGGGCTTATTAGGACAAGTCCCATGCCGACTACTTCGGGTCCCAAAGACCTTTTAACTTTTTCTGCTGGACTCCTGACTAGGGCTTGTTTGGGGTTTTGGTGACTGATGTAAATCACGGGCCTATTTTGGGTCTCCGTTATGTCATGTCCCTTGTTAAGCTGAACTGAAATAAAGGCCCCTTGTTCAGATCAGCACCCATTCAGCCTTCACCACAGGCCAAATTTTCGCGAGCACCTGCGCTGGACGAAAGCTGAGGCGTCTGCAGGATCTTCACGCCGTAGCGCTCGCCTCAGCATTCTCGAGTCACGCTCGAAACTGCAGCTGAATGGACTTCTGCCCTTTTTCTTCACAGGAGGGGGAAGGCTGCTCTGCGTTTGCGCATGGCTCCCCTTATATACAGGCAAAGAAAAGCCGTAGATGCAAAAGGACAAGGGCCTAAAGGTGGGACAATCTCAGTTGAAGTGCGCCTCAAGTTCAGGTCTTGCGGGGTGGACGCGCAACAACTTTCGGGGTGGACACGCGGCCTGCTCCCCTAACCCCTAAACCCTAACCCTAAACCCTAAACCCTAAACCCTAAACCCTAAACCCTAACCCCAGATTGGACTTGGTCGTCTTACGAGAGCTCCTGAAAGAACCACCTCAGTTCAACGCAGGCCCAAGACCTTCTTCGCTTCGGCAGCGTAGAGGGCGTGGGGTCCAGGTTTGATGGTAGTAGGGTCTAGGGTTTAGGGTTTAGGGTTTAGGGTTTAAACGGTTTAGGGTTTAGGTTTTAGGGCATTTAATTTACGGTTTAGGGTGTAGTCTTACCCAGTCGCCATGCAGACGCAAGCCATCATGCAGAAGCCAAGGCAAATCCAAATACACATCCCTCTGACAGCACGCTGGATTCAACTGCCTAAGCCCTTTCAAACCCTAAAGTCCTAAAGTCCTAAACCCTAAACCCTAGACCCTGCTAAACCTCCTTCTAGGATGGCACTTAAAGTCTCCCTAAAAGAATTCATGAATCTGAGCCTCTTCAACCCAATGAGAGAAAATAGAAAATATCCCAAGGGCCTACCTTTACAGCCCAGTGGCAGATAGCATTTGCGTGATCCGCAGACTGCACCATACGATCAGGATCGAAGAGGGCCCTGCAAAGAATTTCAGGGTTTAGGGCACGTTTTGGGTCTTTAGGGTTTAGGGTTTAGGGCTTGGAGTTTAGGGTTTAGGGGTTAGGTTCTACCCAGAAGGCCTAAAAAGGTTTATGGTTCATATACCTGAACAGGAATGAAACCCTCATAGGAATTTTAGTAGAGAGTATATGACCCCAATTTTAGGGTTCACTGTTCACTTGGTTCCAAGGGTAGGGCTTAGGCTTGGGCCTTTGCACTTAGAGACATTGGCATCCTGCCGAGTCTCCGCACTAACCTAGAAAAGTCACAGGGTTGCTGCTTCTATGCTTGGGTTTACCAGGGAACCTAGCTGCTAGCTACTATCTGCCGGAGATCCGAATAAGAACCTGATCGCTTCTTCTGGTCCAAGGCTCTACTTGGTTTCGCACAGCTGCGATTGGCAGGGCATGAATATGGGCAGGGCTGGAGGACATTGCAGAGCTTTGTACGCAGCTGAAGTATCTGAAGATTCTGGATCCATGCTCGTTTTTGGCAGGGGAGAGCAAGGTGGGGTGTGGGCTTCCTGGCTTAGGATTTTGGGATTCCGGGTTGGCTTGCAAAGCGTCTCCCTGCAGCGTAGACTCTGAGCCCTATAAGCCGTGTAAAGTGCAAAGCCTGCCGCGCGACCCCTCCCAGCCTTCTGCCCTCATTCTTGTCTACCTCGACTCCCGCCTCGTCGTCTTTGGGCTCAGGCTTGGGACTTCCTTTTCGGGTTCTAAGGCGAGCATTTAGGAGTTCATGCTTTGGGAATGTCGATCCACACTTCGGTCTTCCCACGCCCGGCACCTCCTCCGTAAAGCATGCATGCAGAGGCTGCCAAATCCAAGACATGCCAAGTTTGCACCCTACACCTGCAACCCCCAGACGCGGGCCGTAAACCCTTCCGACCCCAAACCGTAAAGCCCTGAAATCCCAAACTCGAGGGACTAAAGGAGGAACGCTTGTGAGGGACCTTCGGCGGTATTTAGGGTTAACTACGGAATACTTAAGTTTGTAGGGACTCTGTAAGGAAGATATGAGTTTCTTCAGGAATATGTTTAAGGGTCCCTTCTAGGGTCCCTCCCTCTACCCCTGAACAAACGCAGGCACAAGAGTTGACTTCATATCCCCGGCCCGATGCCCTGAACCCTAGTGTTTAGGGTTTAGGGTTTAGGGTTTAGGGCCTACATCATCAATCCTAGACCTCGAACCCTGCACCTTTGACCCTCGAACCACCCTGAGCCCGACCCCTAAACCATGCTAAAGCCCAGATCCTAAACCCTGTAAGCCCTCTAAGCCCTATAAGCCCTATAAACCCTATAAGTCCCATGAACCCTGAACCCTGAACCCCAAACCCTAAACTCCACAAACCCTAAACCCTAAACCCTAAACCCTAAACCCTGCACCCTAAACCCTAAACCCTAAACCCTAAACCTTAAACCCTAAACCCTAAACCCTAAACCCTAAACCCTAAACCCTAAACAGAAGCTTCATCTGGCACCTCCCTCTTCTTCTCCTGCTCGCTGCGGGCCACCATGGCCTGACATGCCGCAGCGAGCCTTTTTTAAGGTTGAGGGTTCTAGGTTTTAGGGTTTAGGGTTTAGAGTTTGGGGTTTAGGGTTTAGGGTTTAGGGTCCAGGGTTTAGGGGGTTCTAAGGTTTAGGGTTCTGGGGTTTTGAAGGTTGTAGGGTTTAGGGTTCTAGGGTTTTGATTCTAGCGTTTTGAGGGCTGTAGGGTCTAGGGTTCAAGATTTAGGGCTTGGCGGTTTGGGGTTTTAGGGTTCTGGGGTTTTAGGCTTCTAAGGTTTTAGGATTTTCGGGGTTCAAGCGCTTTAGGAATTTAGGGTTCAGGGTTTTGGGGTTCGAGAGTTCTAGGGTTTGAGGGTTTGAGGTCTTTAGGGTTCAGGGGTTCTATGGTTCTAGGGTTTATGGCTTGAGGTTAGGGTTTTAGGATTTGGGGTTTAGTGTTTAAGGTTTTGGGTTCTTAGGGTTGCAGGGCTTTGGGGTGTTTAGGAAATCTGGTTTAGGGTTTGGGCTTTAGGGCTCCAGGGCGTGGAGGGGTTTAGGCTTACTGGTACCAGCAACCTACAGATTCTATTTAGCTAAGCACTTGCAGCCCTACTTATATATAGCCACCCATGAACCCTTCCAAGCACATCAATCCCCAACACAGTACTATGACCCATGACGCTTTCCAAGGGTAGTTGCATGGTCCCTTAGTATATGGACCTGAAATGGGGGCCCCGTATATACCCCTTATATACCCTATGGAGAACGCATGGGCCCATACTTCAGAACCCTTTAAGGGAGGTAAGGGCCCATGAAAGGACCCTCAGAACCTTCAAGTAGCTAGCCTCATGGCCGTGCGCGGAATAACTCACGGAGCCGATGAAGGCCGCAAGTGAGGCGGTGACCTGGGTTTAGGGTGTAGGGTTTACAAGGTTTAGGGTTTAGGGTTTAGGGTTTAGGGTTTAGGGTTTAGGGTTTAGGGTTTAGGGTTTGGGATTAGTTGTGGTGGTTTTGGGCTTTAGGGAGTAGAACTTTACTTGAAGATCCATGGGCGTAGGGTAAGGAAGCCTCTGGTGCGACTAGTGCAATTTGAGTAAGGTGTGGTCAACCTCTGCTGATTATTTCCTATGAACCTAAACCCTAAACCCTAAACCCTACCCTAAACCCCAAACCCCAAACCCCAAACCCTAAACCCTAAACCCTAAACCCTAAACCCTAAACTCCAAACCAAGCCTGAAGGGCGTTCTTGGCTTAGGCTTAGGTTCGGCGATGAACAGCATCAGATGCTTCGAAAGCTGCCCGGGCCCTCTGACCTTAGAGGACAGAAGCCTTGAACCCCCCAAAAGCCCTGCGTCCTTAGAGACCTAAACGCCAAACTTTTCTGTAAACCCCTAAGGCCGTCAAATCCCCTAAGCCCTAGACCCTAAACCCTAGACCCTAAACCCTAAACCCCAGTTGCTGCCAAAGCCGCCTGGCGCAGAACATCTTGCCGAAGCTTTGAGATGTCGAACCTCATATTTCATGGGCTTCCCTCTTAGGGTAGTTTCATGGTCCCTTAGTATGGGCCCTTGTGTACGCCTTCTATACCCTACATATTCAGGGCCCATACATCAGGACCCTTTAAAGGAGGTCCGGCCGGCTTAGGCTTTAGGGTTGAGGGAACTTCTTCCCTACTTGTAAGTAGTACTCATAACTTATAACCTAACTCAGGGCCATTATACCTCTGATGGCTGGCCGCTGCCTGCGGACAGGTGTCCGTACGTGCAGTTAGGGTCCCTTTTGTTTTTGGGCTTCAGGTTTAGGTTCATGGGCCTAAGAGGTTTAGGGTCTTAGGCTTAGGTGCGTCAAGCTTTTGGATGTTTAGGGGTTGGGATGAGGCTTTGGGGCTTTGGGATTTTAGGGTGTTAGGGTTCTAGGGTTTACGGCATTTGGGCTCTGGGCTTTTAGGGCTCAGGGTGAATGCGTAGATATACATACGGCTGTCAGTATAAGGGGTCTAAACAGTACTTATTGAAGTACTTGTAACCCTATATCCCCTACTTTTAATTGCCCCTGAACCTTTAAGCACGCTCAAAAACCCAACCCCTTCCTGGACCTCTAGTGGACGCTGCCTAACTCCCCAACCCTAAACCCTAAACCCGCGTGTTCGGACTTGCGGGATTAGTGTTGAAGGGCTTTGTTCAACATTGGTTCGGTGTGAGGATGTCGGTGAGGATGTCAAGCCGACCTACCCCTAAACGTCACAGGTTCAGCGTAGGGCTTTGAAGCCCTATAGCTATAATTGCCAATATAAGCCACTAACCCCCTAAACCCTATGGGGAACACAGCTGACTGAGGGCTTGCATCTCAAAGCACGATGTAAACCCTACGATACCATGAGCTCGGCAAGCTGAAGGGCCCAAAGTGGTGCAGTCTGATAGTCTGCCTGCCCGCAGTCGGCATTCGAAGAAGCAGTGCGCAGAGCCTGGCAATGCCTTCACAATTTCGGTGGTCGGGCCCTCCTTGTGCTGTTGTTCAGGCGGCGGGCGATGGCAACATCTGGAAACCAAGGCCGGCCACAGGATCCCTGGCCGGGTGTGTTTCCGCAGAGCAGCGGCTCTGTGCCACAGTTCACCCAAGAGACCCTCATAAAGCTCTCAAACCCTAATCTCGAACCGAAACCCCTAAATCCTTAACCCCTATAAGGCCCAAACTGAACGCTCAGTGTAGCAGCTAAGAAGCCCAAAGCCCTACACGAACAAACCGCTAACCCTAAGTAAACTCATGTAAACTCTGAACACTGAAACTCCTAAACCCCAACCCATCAGTCCTAAGCCTCGAGACCCCAAACCCACCCCAAACCCTTGCAAACCTAGAACCCTGAACCCCTGAGCCTCCCCTAAGCCCAACTCGCAGACCCTCAAAACCCAAACGTCAACCCAAACCCCGATTCCTCACCCCCAAGCCAAAACGCCAAACTCTAAACGCCCCAAGCCTACATTCTGAACCCACCAACCCCAAACTCTGAACCCTAAACCTCCAAAAAGGCCGAAACCCCCCCTAAACCCTCCTAAGGCACACATCCCTGAAACCAAAAACCGCACAGAGAAACCTCCAATTCCCTAAGCCCCCCTAAACCCCCAAACCTGGGCAAACCCCCTGAAGCACCGAAGCCCAAGCCTTGTCGAGGGTAAGTTTTAGGGTTTAGGGTTTGTAAGGTTTGTAGGGTTTAGGGTTTAGGGTTTAGGGTTTAGGGTTTAGGGTTTAGGGTTTAGGGTTTAGGGTTTAGGGTTTAGGGTCCTCTACTCCCCCAAGGCCCCCAACACTTCCCAACCCGAAGTAAGGCACTGAAGATTCTATTGGACCTTATCTTTGGGGGTAGCCAGGGGGTGTAGCCTAGGTTGCTACAGCAAGCTTGCCCCCAAAAAAAGGTTTCTTACTTGGATCCCCCCCTCTCCTTGCCTTTAAAGCACCCTACGAAGCTCCCTTGCAGCCGGCGGCACTCCCCACTCTGCACCCCTTGCCGCTTGCTGTCCTCAGTTCATGGGAGGTAGTTACCTGGGGAGCCTTGGGGAGCTTTGGGGAGCCTTCGGGAGCCTTAGGGGGCCTCAGGGCCTTAGGGAGCCTCAGCCTTAGGGGTACTTAGAGAGGCTAGAGAGCTTCAGGGAGCCTCAGGGAGGCTTAGGGAGCCTTAGGCAGCTTTAGGGAGTCCTCGGAAGCTTGAGGGAGCAGGTGGGGAGTATTGGGGAACATACCCCCCCTTGAACTCCCCCTCCCTGAAAGAAGCTTGTAAATTGACTTGGTGTGTGGGCGTCCCTTGAAGGGGTGCCTTCCGCGTGCGTGCATAGGTGTGGCTCGGATGGACATCTTACGGGACGCTAGGAGGGACCCATCGAAGGCCACCCTTAATCGTACTACGTAGCCTTAAGGAAGAACCCTTCTCCCTATGTCACGCTCGTTCCCAAGAATGCTGGCTTGGGGCCTAGGGTGTAGGGGTCAGGCCCTTTCCAAAGCCCAAAAGCACAAGCACAAGCACACACACACACACACACACATCTACTCAGATGTGCATGGTGAAGGTTTGTATTTGTTGCGGGAGGTTCTCAAAGCCGGGTCTTTCTTAGCGTGACCCAGACCAAGGCTCTCTCCGTTTTATGTTGCGACCCCCCAAAGCCCCCTACGGGACCATACCGCCGAGAACGGCCCATGTAGCGATACAACTCTCAGCTGCCCTATGTCTATCCGAGGAAACCGGAGAACCATGAAACCCCACAACTTTCAAACTTTCGGATCTAGGGTTGAGGGCTTAGTGGTCATAAAATCCTTGCGTGCAAAGTCATCCTTAAATGCTAAAGCCCGAAACCCTTACCTTAAACCCTGACCGTTAAGCTTGGGACCCCCTGGTGCATGTTGCAAAGGGCACCTATAAAAAGAAAGGGTTTCGGGTTTTAGGTTTTAGGGTTTAGGGTTCAGGGTTTAGGGTTTAGGCTTTAGGGTTCCAAATTCAGCATAACCCTCCGTGTAGGCGCCGGGCAGAGCTCGCCATGGTGTTCGCCGCCATCCGCGCGGCAAGCCGAGCGTCCTTTTAGGGTTTAGGGTTTAGGGTTTAAGGTTTAGGGTTTAGGGTTTAGGGTTGACTTGTACTTGAATATTCACGGACATGGGTAGCTAATTCTCCGTGCGATATTTATGCGGTACGCCCCAAAGGGACCCAAATTCCTAGAGATCTGCCCCTCCCACATTTGCGATTTAGGAACAAAATTTGGGGTTTCTAAGGGGGACTAAGCGAGTAACGTAAGTTGAGAATGAGATACCTTTTGCAGCACCAAAGAACACACTACTATAGGAGCCTACTGATTAGAACACATATATATATATATATATATATATAGATACATATGGGCAACATTATAGTATTACATATATATATATATATACATACATACATATATACATATATCTCTATATACATATATACATATATATGTATGTATATGTATGTATACATATATATATATATGTGAATATGTATGGGCCATAAGGAAATACTATATTTGGGCAACTCTTCTGGCCTCGATGACCCAGTTCACCGTGGCGGTCGCCTCAAGAGGCACGTTGTCCCCGGTGGTAACCTCCGGGGCAGACTTTAGGGTTTAGGGTTTAGGGATAGAAGTTTGCAGTTTCATGCGAGCAATGGAGCCAGAAACCCCATCCCCAAACATAAAGGCTTGAACACTTTAAGTTGGAATGTTTCCTGCTTATACTAGCAGTCCTTAATAGGGATGATAATAGGAGGTCCTATAAGCTCGATTCATGACTGGTAGTATAAGGGGGGACATCCCAAACTTTAAGCGTCAAGTCTTGAAAGGCAATCGAGCCTCAATCCTGGGGGCCATTGGGGTACCCTGTAGTCCTAGCAGTCGTCTGGAAAAGCTTGCCTCACAATGCCTTTCTGCCGCAGTACGTTGCTGCTGCTGTTGGGCCTTCCTAGGGCTGCTCCAACGCGTGGCGACTCCTCACTGCCCCCAGTTGGTTTAGGGTTTAGGGTTTAGGGTTTAGGGTTTAGGGTTTAGGGTTTAGGGTTTAGGGTTTAGGGTTTAGGGTTTAGGGTTTAGGGTTTAGGGTTTAGGGCCAAAACACCAGGCGGTAGCCATGCAGGTCGACAAGCCCTGTTTCTAGGCAAACCCACAATGTTCGATACGACGCAGTCGCTTCCGCCGCTTGCTTCCGCTTGAGGTTGACAGCAACTATTGGGCCCCGAAGCCCTAAGCCCTAAAACCCCAACCTTTCACTTTCCGAAGCCTCCCCCTACTTGAGAATTCGTGGGCTGTTCTCAACGCTACCCTGGAACCTTCAATAGGGTTTGGAACCAAACCCTAGACCCTAATGTAAGGTGAGGCTTTGCGGTTTCAGGCCTGAATCGGGCCCACATCGTTGGTCTGGAGCTTCTTGGTCATGAACTTCTCGAACTGTTCGGCCGTTTGGGGTTTAGGGTTTAGGGCTAGGGTTTAGGGTTTCGGGTCTAGGGCTTAGGGGCTAGGGTTTCTGAGGGTTCAGGGTCCAGGTTTTTGTGCTAAAAAAGCTGGAAACGCCTGGGTTTCGTGAGCAGAGTTGGGGCTCTCTTTGACAAGCTCGCTAAGGTCAATCTTCGGCCAAGGGCGCAACCTTATACCCTGAGCCTCATATCAGCAAGTAGCTTCGATCTTCGATCCTTTGCAATCCATCCTTCTGGACCATATCTGAACCATTGACTTTGGGCTCCGTGTTGGGGATCCTCACTCTTTACGCCTGTCTATTCAACCCTGAACCTAGGGGCTCTATTTCGAAGGCTCTGGGCATTGCGGGAAGGCAGAGACCACACGCTCTTTGGAGCTTTCAATGCTTGCAATCCAAACGTAGACCTCGCAACTGAGCTGCAAGCCAGGCTCTAACACGGCTTGTGACGCTAAGGTGTGCTTTGAGATACTCACTAGCTAGCTACTATCCCAGGCCGAACTGAACTTGCAAACTAAAGACCCTTTAAGGGCAGTATCATGGGCGCTTAACAAGGTCACCTAACCTAAGGGGTCCACATTTCAGGGCCAAGTCAACGGCTTTCAGCGCTGCGGCCATCGGGGTGCAGCCTTGGGCTGAGACTTTCGTAGACAGGATGCAAGCAAGGACCTTCAGCGAGCTGCGGCCTTTGGCGCGGCCCTGGGCGCGCTGCTGCAGGTCTTCCGGCGACAGCTTCGACACCAAAGGCCGAAGCTTCTGCAAGCGCTTTGGCTCCTTCTTGACAGCGCGCCCTGCTCCCTTCTTGAGTTGGCGTTGGCCAGCTGCTGTCGTAGCTGTTTCAGCCGGCTGATCTTCTCTGACAAGGGGATGCCGGCTTCTTAAAAGACCCTAACCCCCAAAGCCCCCTAAGCCCTAAACCCCGAAGCCCTGAACACCAAAGCCCGTACATGCCAAAACCCCAAACCCCCGCTGTCGGGTGCAGAGTTAAGGGTTCAGGGCCCGTTATGGGCTTGGGGTCTAGTAACGTAGGAGGGACTCTTCTTTGGGTGGATTGAAGAAGTTGATACACCGCAGTAAGCGGGACTGCTTGGAATGTTAGAGAGACCCCTGGAGGGCCTCTAAACCCTCGCCTCCTCCAACCTCCCCAACCCCAAACCCCAAACCCCAAACCCCAAACCCCAAACCCCAAACCCCAAACCCTAAACCCTAAACCCTAAACCCTAAACCCTAAACCCCCTCCCCCCCTGCAACCAGTCCCGTTGCACCTTCCAGTTCCTGTGGGTCAGCATGTACGCCCGACCTTCAACCCTAAACCCTAAACCCTTAAACCCTTAAACCCTAAACCCCAAACCCTAAAGCCTAAACCCTTACCCAGGCTCGCGCTCTAAGACTGCTGGGTGGGGGGGGAGGGTTGATCACAGCGTGTCTTTCAAAAAGGGCTCCTCCAGGATGGGAGACTAGGCCTTAACATCCCCATCATGGACCCTATTCAGGGCCTTTTAAGGGATTATAGGGTATAATAGCCCTTTTAAGGGATTGTAGGGTATAATAGCCCTTTTAAGGGATTATAGGGTATAATAGCCCTTTTAAGGGATCATAGGGTATAATAGCCCTTTTAAGGGATTATAGGGTATACTAGCCCATCCTGGCTAGGAACGGATTTACGAGTTAAGGGTTGATCAAACTGCTGGCAGCTACAGGCTAGAATGACACGGACCCTAAACGGGGAATACAGGGACAGTACACAGCCGAAGCTGTTCCAGACTCGGGCTTGATATGGTTTACTGCCTTCGCAGCTTTGGAGTGCATGCGCGAAGGGGCTTGGCGCTTGCTATGGCTGAGGAGAAAGCGTTGTGGGGATGCATTCAGGTACTGGGGTTTCTGGTCCCCTAGCGCAGAAAGAAGCATGGCCATGCTTCAAAAGAAATTAAGCACCAACACACACACACACACACTGTGTCACTGTTGTCAAGGTTGCCTAAGAATTTACCCTTAGCCCCAGACCCAAAACAGAAATCGCCTACAGAAAACTGCAGATAGGCTCCCTCTGAGACGCCGCGAGCACAACTGAGGTCTAAAAAGGCCATGCCCCTCTAGATCTTATAGGGCTTGGGCTCAAAACTCGAGACCCTAAACCCTAAACCCTAAACCCTAAACCCTAAACCCTAAACTCTAAACCCTAAACGCTAAACCCTAAACCCTAAACCCTAAACCCTAAACCCTAAACCCTAAACCCTAAACCCTACCCTTCTTCCCACCCCGGCGGGCCTCCTTCCAGGATCTTCTGCTCTCCGTTATCTTGCGTGACGGCCGCGTAGCCCTGCATCGAGAGAGCATCTCTCTGAGGCTTCGAGGGCCGCCACTTTCGATGTGGCGTGGTGATGTAAAGTATCTAACCAGGGTTTTTAGGGTTTTAGGGGAGTTTAGGGTTTTGGGTTTAGGGTTTAGGGTAACTTCTTCCATAAGAATACTAGCAATGGACCATCTACCCGGACCCTACCCGGACCCTGATTGCAGCTCATGTCTTTGGTTACCTACCGCAGTTTCCGTGAGAAACAAAGCCTAATCCCCTAAGGGGGAGTTTTTAGATTCGCGGCTCGGAAGTCCAAAAGGCCGAAGGACGCTTAAGTTCCGCCCGCAGAATGGAGCAGGCCATCTCTTCCCGAAGAGCGGCTCTTGCAGGATTTTTACAGCTTACAGAGTTTAGGTTTTAGGAGGTTTAGGGTTTTAGGGTTTTAGGGTTTTAGGGCTTTAGGGCTGTAGGGTTTTAGGGGTTATTTGGGTTCTAGGGTCTTGGGGTTTTAGTAGGATTTTGGGGTTTAGGGCTAGGGTTTCAGCAAGCCTCGTCCACAGTAATCAGCGTGTACGGCCTCGCCATGTCAAGTGGCGGAGAATCCTTAAGCTACTTTCTGGTTGCCGAACCCTAAACCCTAAACCCTAAACCCTGAACCCTGAACCCTGAACCCTGAACCCGAAACCCTAAACTCAGAACAAGGAGTCTGAAGGTGCATATCGGAAGAGTTCAGGAATTGAGGTATACCGCGTCCCCCCCCCTTATTCTTTTAAGAGATTTTGTAGGTCCCCAAATTACCTGCTAAGAACTAGTCAGACCAAAACACAAACCTCGCTGGCCACCAACAAAAACGAACAAATCGGCACCGACTCTGTGGACCTGCGCGGTCTGACTCCCCTGCTCAGCTGTACCAATGCCCTCAAAGCAACTTGCACTTGAGTTGCAGCGATAAGCCCGAAAGCCTACCAAGCCCTAAACTATACTAAGCCCCAGACCCTAGACCCTGAACCTTACTACAAGTAAACCCCAAACCCAGTTGCAAGTCACTGAGGCGGCCGCCCCAGGCATATGACGCTCGAGGCAAGATCAATCAGGCGCTCAAACCTCGGTTAACGATGCTGGTGATAATTACCAATGTGGAAACCCTTTAGCTTAGGCAGGTTGGTCTGGTCCTTTCTCCTCTCCCGGTCGAGACTTCAGGTGCCCAACTGCCACTCATGCCGTGTGGACACCCTCTAAGCTCACCCTAAGAATGAAACAGAGCCCACACGGGGGGTTTACGAAAATAAGGTACCCCGAATATAGACCCCACATAGCAGGATCCCCTTACAATAAGAACCCCAATAGCCTCCCACATACCCAGAGACTCAAATACTCCGTAAGTAAAAATCCTCCTTAAACCATATAAGGAACCTGATTATGGTTTCAGGCATCTTCCTTACTTAAGGAGTACTGGAGTCCCCAGGCAAGAGTCGCGCAGGGGCCATCAGCCGCTTTGGTGTTCAGAGTTCCGGGCCCCTTATACTAACAGTCCTTCATGGGGATTCTCATAGGAGTTCTCTAATCCCTCTAAAGGACTGTCAGTATAAGGGCAAACATCCCATTCAAAGCTTATAGGGTTTAGGGTTTAGGGTTTAGGGTTTTGGCTTATAGACTTTGGCAAAGCTCACTTCGTCGCTGAGGCATGAGCTCCATCGTCGGCGAGTTCCACTGGTGCAAGCCTCTCTAAGGTACATGGTCCCTTAGTATGGGGCCGTTGAAACCCTTACATAGCCCTTATATACCCTACACAAATTAAGGGCCCATACATCAGAACCTTTTTTCGGGGTCCGCAGAGACTCCAGTACTCCTTAACCAAGGAATATAAGGAACCCCATTATGTTTCAAGGACTATTCCGCAGTTACGGGGGTATTGGAGTCCCTGGAAAGTAGCTGTTCTTCAACCTAAACCCTAAACCCTAAACCCTAAACCCTAAACCCTAAACCCTAAACCCCAAACCATAACACATTGCTGGAGCAAAACCCCGAGCCCTGCTGTGATTTGGAGTGACAAGGCTGGGGGGGGGGGGGTTTAGGGTTTAGGGTTTAGGGTTTAGGGTTTAGGGTTTAGCGTTTAGGGTTTAGGGTTTAGGGGTTAGGGGTTAGGGGTTAGGGGTTAGGGGTGAAGGAACTTAGAGAAATTGCCAGTAATGTTGTGGATGTACTGTACCCCAAACCCGAAACTCCAAACCCTAAACCTCGAAGCTGACGCGGTTTCTACATATTCTGGTAGCTGAACTGAATTAAATTCCCTCATCGCGCGTTGGTGAGAGGCGTTGGGGGCGCCCATCTTCCCAGTCCCGATTGGGTTTCCCAAGGCTGGCCTCTATAGGGTGGGTTTGAAGGCACGCTGAACCCTAAACCCTAATCCCTAAACCCTCAAACCTAAACCCTAAACTCTAAACCCTAAACCCTAAACCCGAAACCCGAGGAAGACCGTGAACACGCCTGGCGGCAGCAGCACTGGCTGTCCTCTGTCCATGGCCTCGGGGGTTTAGGGTTCAGGGGTTTAGGGTTTAGGGTTGAGGGTTTAGGGTTTAGGGTTTAGGGTTTAGGGTGTAGGATCGAGGATTGAGGGTTTAGGGTTTAGGGGCTTCGAAGGTGTCGGAATGTTACAGGTGCATCGTGTATACTCACTGTAGCTCCAGCAATGCTATTCCACCAAAGCCTTCAACCCTAGACATAACTCAAATTGACCTAAACACCCCGAAGCCCTAACTATACATAAACCCCAAACCCAAATCCCTAATCCCTAAACCCTAATCCCTAAACCCTAAACCCTAAACCCTGATGCGTTTTTCTACCGAGCCGAGCTCACGTGCACATTGTAGGTGAAAGAATTCCGAAGCATGCGAAGCCTTTGCAAAGAGCTCGGTCGACTGCACGGCTTAGCGTTGGATTCGGGAGGCTTAGAGTTTAGGGTTTTGCGATGGTCTACTGACTCTTGAGAATTTTGAGAGGCTGAGCTTGAAATTCTGTGCGTAAACCGTAGTAAAAGCAAACATCACAAAAACCCAACGTTTGGCAAGTTGGGGTATGGGGCGGAGGGGTAGGGAGGGGTGTTGCGGCAGTGCAATGTCTGACCACACCCTGTAGGTAGATGTTCCTTAAGTTCAAACTGTAAAGACCCCGGTGCATTGTGCATTGCATGGATCCTCCGTCAAGCCTTCCAAGACGCAAATACATCTCCAAAGTCCAAGTTACAAGCCTAAACCCTAAAAGGGGCCCCAATAACTAGAATAGGGTTTGGGGGATAGTAGTACACTTACAAAGGGACCCTAAGCAAACACCATTAGTCCTTTTTCCGACACCTATATGAGATCCAAGACAATGCTCGAAACTTGAAAGCCCCGGAAGCCCCAAGCCCTGGAGTCGGAGACGGCGTTTAAACACCCTGAACCCCAAACCAACCGTGTACCCTCAACCCTGAACCCTGAACCCTAAACCCTAAACCCTAAACCCTAAACCCTAAACCCTAAACCGCTAAGAATCAGGATCCCGAGGCGTCATTCCAAGGGCTGAACCAGCCCGACGAAGCCCTGCGTCACGGTCACGATGGCCTCCGTCAGCTGCTTTTGCTTGCTTTTGTGTTGCTTTTTTTGGGTGGGGTTTAGGGTTTAGGGTTTAGGGTTTGGGGTTTGGGGTTTGGGGTTTGGGGTTTGGGGTTTGGGGTTTGGGGTTTGGGGTTTGGGGTTTGGGGTTTGGGGTTTGGGGTTTGGGGTTTGGGGTTTGGGGTTTAGGATTGAGGCTTGGGTGGGGGGAGAGAAGGCTTCGGTTTCCGGTCCAGGTTCTTGTTTGTTGGGAAGGGGGGGGGGAGGGGGCGAAGAGCCGAAGAACAAGCACATCAATGCAAATGTTGCGGTACCCTCTCGATCGTGGTTGTTTTGTGACACCTTGGCACCCGAAAAAGGGAGAGGTAGACACAACACGGCGCGCAGGGCTTGCTTCTTGAAAACAAGCACAATGCCAAGTGCAGTACAGGCAAAAGGCTGAGGACATCGGCGACTAAAACCCACTAGGGAAACCGACGGTTGCGGTACCCTACCCATAAGAATCCGAGCCCGCTTTCTTTGTAGGTTCTTGTAGGCCCCCCTTATAGGATGCTTAAGAACCCTGCAAAAAGACTAGAGTCTCCAATGAAAAGGGTACCTTTTTTGCTTTAGGGGGACCTCTACGGGAACCAGAGCCCAAAAAGGGAATCAGGGCCTCCGGGTCCCAGAAAAGTAAGTTTGGGGTTCTGGAGGTAAGCCCTACACCGCTAACCCGCTCTCTCCATCGACTCTCCGTGAAGGTGTTCCGGCTACTGTCGCTCGACGCTGGCGAAACTCAATCGATTAGCTTGAGGCCTAGCAGGTTAGCAATGGGGGCCAGGCGTTTATAGAGCATATGCGCAGGATAGGGGTTCGGAGGTTTTGGGGTGCTTTTGAGGCTCTGGGGCCTTGGTGCCATGCAGGATGGCACCCTCTGTAAGGCGCGAATCGCGGGTGTCGACCTCGTCGGCAGACACTTCTGGGATCGGAGGTGGACTGGCATTTGGGGCCCACGGTTGAGGATTTACATGATGACGGGCTGTCGGGGAATGGTCGTTTTAGGGCTCAGGGTCCCAACAACATTACAGACCCAATGCCTAAGGCAGCTGCACCAAGGGTAGTTGGGGGTCTAGGCACCTCAGTCCAGACCTTACCCAAGAACCCTAAGCCTAGACCCTAAGCCCTACACCCCGACACCCGAAACCCTAAACCCTGTCATTTCTAAGCCCTGAACCTTTAGCCCCAGCTGAGCTGCCAGCCGTGATATAGGGAGATGGATAGACCTCGGCAGTTTGAGGTAATCTAAGATCCTTGTTATATAAACCCTTATCAGCAATAAGGGCCCATACTTCAGATAACTATCAACAAGGGTAAGGGACCATACTAAGGGCCCGTGGCTCCACCCTCAGAGGTAAAGGGTTTGGGGATCAGAGGGCGCAGGCTTTAGGGGTTAGGTTGCAGCTGGGCTTCAGCATGTTTTCTGAGTTCAGAATCCGCTCAAGTACTCTCCTGGCTCTGACAGGTACATGGTAGCGCGCTTTTCTTGCTTGTTTTGGGAGGGGAGGGGTTCTGGAAAGTCGACTCTTGGGGCATCTCGGGTTTGGGGAATAGTTACCCGAATTACCCTAAACCCTGAACCCTTGCGAGTGAGATGTGTTGTGAAGATCGGGAGCTTCACAGCTGAGGGCGTTCTCAAAGGCCAGCCAAGCAGTGACCCAAGACCGCCGAAGTGGTGGCCCTGACGCTAAGACGACCTCCAACCCAAAACGCTAGAAACCCTGAATCCCAAACCCTTCGGCGTTGAGCTGGGATTGAGGGCTCGGGGGGACAGACTTGCCCTCCGAAGGGACTGGGCATCTAGGTAAGGATTGGGAAGGACGTTTCCGGAACGTAGGGTTTGGGGCCTTTAGGGTTTAGGGCCCACTGTGCTTCGCGCATGAACGCCCTCGCCGAAGAACATGTACTGGCCATTCTGATGTCGGCCCCTGCGTCACAGATTTTCTTGATCTCTGTTTGGGCGGGGAAGGGAGTTCGACACTGGTTGGCACTTGAACTGCTTGAACTAACTCCTGCAGACCTAGAAGTCTGCCGGAACCCATCCGCTGCCGTGGGATTGAAGTTCATGGATTCTGCAGAAGCTCACTGGAGGAGGAGTCCGTGGATATAAACACCGAGGCTTTAGGGTTTTAGGGTTTAGGGTCTTCTTTTGTTTCCGGGTTTGCCCCAAGAGCACAAACCTTACACAGACCCCCCCTGTACCCCTGGGCCGGTACTATGCTCTAAATAGCTGGAATATCAAGGGAGGGACGTTCAAGGGGGAGTATGTAACGCAAGGTTTCCCAACACTCCCCATTGCTCCCTAAGGCTTCCTAAGCTTCCCTAAGGTTCCTAGGTACCAACCCCCCCACCACCCCCCATGAATCCCCCTCAGACCCTATGCGACAAGTCCTTTTAGTACCTTCTCATGGAGGCCACTTTTGTTCTGACCCCGCCTGACAACTGCCACTGAGCTCAAGTACACCTGGACACCAAAGTGCCCAACCCCAAACCCTACTGCCGTAGGGGAAGGCTGAAGGTGTCTCCACCCTCCACCAATTAAGGGTGGACAAAGCTAGCTGAAGGGCACTGCAGAGCAAACATAATGCTTCTAGATCACCCGTGCTCGTCGGTCCTTACCCGAGCTTTGGAGCCCTGCGGTACGTGAGGGCTCACTGGTAACATAGGTGGTGTTGTGTGTTCCCACATACCTTCTGCGATCGATATGGGGTTTCGGGGTCAAGGAACAACAAGTCAAGCTCGATGCTGCTTCGGCGTTCGGAAGTGAAAGGCTGAGGGTACCCGGAATAGGGCACAGAGTTTGGAGCAGGGCAACAAGATTGCAAAGTGAAAGTACATCAAGAAACAGCTTCCTCTCTCCCAAAACCCCAAAGCCCAACGTACCACTTCAACCCTGGACAGTTTCTTGACCCTCCAGCAACAAAAACAACCTGTCGACTCCCGAACTCTCTAGGAGCCAGGGCCTGCGGATGCAGCCCGCGTTGACTACGAAGAACCTGGGGACTCAACAGTCCTTAATCCATCAGCTCCCCCCCCTCTATGTCATAGACCCTGATTCAATCCTAAGGTAACAAAAATTTGCCTTCTTGTGACACGGGAAAGATGCTGCAGGTATTGTGAGTGTTTACGCGTCCTGAACTTAAAGCACACGGGGTACTCATGGTCCACCCAGAAACTTGGGTCGGGTCTGTTTTGGGCTTACCCGCGCACTGCGCAGAGCGAGCTCAAAGTAGCGGTCTAGGTTTTAGGCCTTAGAGTTTAGGGTTTAGGGTTTAGGGTTTAGCCTGCCATCATTACAATGTACAAGAGGGGCACAGATCCAGGCCAGGGTGTCTCTATGTGTGGCCTCTGAATTTACATGTTGCCTGCATCCCTGCGACCATACTTCACGCAAGAATTGCATCGAGCACTCCGCCGCCTGGCTCTTGCTCCTTCTTAGGGTTTAGGGTTTAGGGTTTAGTGTGTAGGGTTTAGTGTTTAGGGTTTAGGGTCATCCTGTCTTCTTCGTCTTCTGGTTACAACACTCCAGCATCAATCCGGCCTTGTTTTACTGGGGCAGAGCGACCTTCATCCGACGCCTTACAAGGAACCCTTATCAGACGACAGTTATGCGGCCCGCCATCTCAGACCAACGCGCCCAAAGCTACGTCCACTAGTCTCAGCGCAACCCAGTCCCTTCAAAAAAAGAAAACATACAGTGACTCCGGATACCTCCATGTGTGTAGGCTATGCTCTTTAATGGCAAGTACCAAAATCAGGATCGCAACGAATGCCTTCCCCTGATCCCCGGACTCTGCAAACCTCCCCAACGACGTGACAGCAACTGAGCCCTGAAAGAAGCGAACTGCAAGATACCTTTAGGGATTGGTGTCTTCGGACTCTAAACCCTCGAACATACAGACAACCTGCAATAGATTAGATCGTTACAGACAGACCCTTAAGGACTTATCTGGGAAACGACTAAGTAGGGAATGGGAGGCATAGGTACCCTACATAATCTGCCCATAAAACCCTCTGAAACACATTCCGAAATATGATCCTCTTAAACCCAATAAGGGGAAATATAGAATATCCAAAGGGCCTACCCAGCAGTCCCTTCACCTGACTGCAAGGCCCCCTTTGCCATGCTGGTCGGGAAGCTTCACAAGGCAGCAGCAGCCATGGCAGGTAAGGCACCTGGCTACAGGCGTTAGGGCTCAAGACGTCGGTTTAGGGTTTAGGGTTTAGGGTTCAGGGTTTAGGGTCTAGGGTCGAGGGTTTAGGGTTTAGGGTCTCAGTACTGAGGGGCCCAAAACGCCAGAAAGTTAACCCCAAACCTTAGGGATATTGGGTCCTGGATACCCCTCATGGGCCCCCAAAGTACCATTGATCCATAATCTAGCACCCCCCTCAAAAGTAGGTCCCGCATTTCCAAATCGAGGTAGACTCACGGGTTTTATTGGACCTCATTCTGCAGTGCTGGCAGGGCTTTTGGGCACTTGAAGTTTCACAATGGATCGTTCTAAGTCGGGTTTTAAGTAGCCTAAGTAGAACAGTCGGGGTTGTACTGGTTACCTTACTTACAACATCTTACAACTCTGCTTGGGTTTAGGATAGTTTAGGGTTTCGGGTTCAGGGTGCTTATACCTCATGAACCTCAAAGTACAGCGGGCAGCCCTTAAAGGGCCCACATTTAGTACCATGCGCGAACTAAGACTCTAGGTGCCAGGGGGTTGCTTATTCCATAATGGTAAGGGCCCGCCGTCGACCATTTACCCTTCGCCCCAAGTCCCTAAACCCCCAAAACAAAGGGGGGGAGGGGAGGGGAGGCTGCTGCACCAAGGCGACCCGAAAAGCCTCGTTCTGCTGTTGCTGCTGCTGTGCGCGAAGGCATCTTGAACGGCATCGTTCTGCTGCCTCTGCTGCAGTGCCAAGGCGGTCTGAGACCGTTCCGCTTAGCAGAGAGCCGCCGGGCTGCTGCTGGCTGCCACCACGCTCCAGCTTCGGAAGCACGGCATCACAGGGGCCACATCGCCTGCTTGTCTAGCTGAGTGTCTTCCCCTGCATCATCCACCACAGGAGTAGCTGGAACGCTCGAAGCAATTTGTTTGAAGCGGCTTGTCTGCAATAAGAACTCTGTCCATCGCACATGTTCTTGCTTGAAAAGACAAAGGTGTGACTTCCCTGCCTCTCACGCGCACTACGAGATCAGCCCAATAGGAAGCTTCAAGATCTTAGGGTAGTTACATGGTGACCTACTATGGGCCCTTAAACCTGGCTTGGTTGTCAGGTGGACTCCACACCGGCCCCTTGCAGACTTGAGGTAACCTCATTTAGGGCACTTGTAGCCGCACGGAAAGCTAAACTACCCCTGAACCTTCGTTCCTGTCTATGCCTGCTAAAAGAACGCCAGCAAAGGAAAAGAGTGCCACAAAGAATCCGGTGCCCCCAAAAATCCAGTAGGCTAGGTGTTCGCGTTTGAGGTTTAGAGGGTATGTTGCTCTGGTAAACCGTCGAAACGGGGTTCGGTGCTTGAGGCTTCTGCAAGCTCGGCGTCTCAAAGCTCACCCTAAACCCTAAACCCTAAACCCTAAACCCTAAACCCTAAACCCTAAACCCTAAACCCTAAACCCTAAACCCTAAACCCTAAACCCTAAACCCTAAACCCTAAACCCTAAAAAATCACAAACTTCTCCATGTGCCGAATCGGGATGGGAGTCCAGTGACCAGAATGAAAAAGCAAAAAGAGTGTGCCAGCATGCCCTCTTCAATAAAGGTTTAAGGGAGCCCGACACCCAAGAGAACGGGAGTACCAAACCCTAAACCCTAAACCCTATTAAACCCTAAACCCTAAACCCTAAAGTGGGACGAATTAAGGGTACTCCCGCACATGCAAGGAAAAGCTCGGAAGGGCGGCTGGGCCAAGAGGCTCCTTGGCATCTTCCAAAGCGGTTTAGGGTTTAGGGTTTAGGGTTTAGGGTCTAGGGTTTAGGGTTGTAAGAAGGTGCGCAGGGGTGGGCTGAAACTAGGGGCGGCCTGCTCCTGAAACTACAGATCAGAGGTGCGATGATGAAGGCTGGTTATCCTTGCATCCCTTAAGTAGGGCTCAGGGCTTCCGAGGAGGTTGAGGGGGGGGGGGGGGGGGGGGGGCCTCAGAGTACCTTGCCATCGCAAGGTTTATGGGCTTCAGAACTGCTCAGTTGGCGAGCCGCAGAGAGTCCTAAACCTGCTTGAGACGCTTCCATGTCCGTGTTTACGGGCACGCTTGCGCGTGGATTTACAAGGCCTTTGTCCTGTGGGATATTGAAGCTTCGCTGCACAGCAACAACCATCTACCCCAGGAGTTTAGGGTTCGAGCCAGTTTCTTGCGGAAAGCGAATGAAGTAACTAAAGATGGACTGGGTGTCGGGGTAGGTGTTCTAAGAAGGCTTTCAACGCTTCCTCAACCAACAACGCCTCAACCACCCTATCCCGAAGTAGCTCTAGGTCCAGCGCTCTAAGCCCTAAGCCTTGAAACCTTCTTACCCGCCCGACAACCAGGGAATGAAAAGGTTATGCTGCTATTTCCGACCAAGTAAGGTCCTCACTTGGCAATCCTTAGGCTTGCTCAACAAGAGGCCCGAAGCGACAACGGACACCATACTATCTCAGATGCATCTCAGATTCTAGGATTTAGGGCTGAAGGGTCCACCGTCATGCTGCCTCAGGGGAAACCCTACCTAAACCGGAACTCCAAAACCCACCCCCGTGACTATCCTTCTCAAAACCCTCCAAAACCCAAGGGGTTTAGTGTTTAGGGTTTAGGGTTAAGAGTTTAGCGTTTAGGGTTTAACCCTACCAGCCACAAAGACCTTTAACCAGCCGTGCTGCTGGTTCAGGTCCCAGTTGCCCTTGATGACATCGAGGTCCTGGTGAACAGTGCGGGATACCGCAACCCTAAACCCTAAACCCTAAACCCTAAACCCTAAACCGCAAATTGCAGGCCGTGTCTAGGTCCCTATGGCCGCTATGACGGTATCTTACTATCTCAGGTACTCGGGCTCGACTTGAGGCTGGAGGGTTTGGGGTTTGGCGATCTGCCATCATACACCTGAAAAAAAAGTAAACCGAAAGGAAAACATGCCAGCCCCGGGCCACCAGCGAGTTCTCCCTAAAATGGCTGGACCTTTTTGGTCGCGAGTTTTTTCTGCTTTAGGAGCTTCAAGGTTTATGGCTTTGGCCTTTCGGGGCTTCGGGTTTATAGGGTTTAGGGGTTTGGGGCTGATGAGGGCCAGGGTGTGGGGCGTGGGCTCCCACTGCCCATCCGGAGTCATGGCCGAAAGGGCTTCGGAACGGCATCGATCCCGATACGACTCTTGAAAACTTACTCCCCCCCCCCCCCCCACCGCCCACTAACCCCTATATCAAGGCCGAAGCAATGCCCTGTATGAATGATTTTGTGTGTGTTTGCAACGGTGCAACACATGCGACTCATCAGACGAGGTCCTGGGCAACAAAAGTCGACCGCTACCCCAACCTCAACTTCTCAGAAGGTAACACCCCAAGGCTTTGAATCTAACTTGGTAGCCACGTAACCACTTTAAAATACGGGTGCCCGATTTGGGTGGGTTCCTTTATATGGGAACCTTGAACCAAAAAAAAGTAAAGGGTACCACTGGGCCACCAAGCTAAACCTCCATCGAAAATGCCCCAGCTCCCGACTGAACATGCTGCTTGACCACGACGACCTTCCAACCACACAGTCTATCTCCGAGCTGTTGGAATACTAATGACAATCCAGACTCCCAATCAAATGGCGACCCCAATGACTCCAAAAAGAGAAGCGCCCTGTCAACCCTAAACCCTAAACCCTAAACCCTAAACCCTAAACCCTAAACTCTAAACCCTAAACCCTAAACCCTAACCCTAAACCCTAAACCCTAAACCCTAAACCCTAACCCCTAACCCCTAAACCCTAAACCCTAAACCCTAAGCCTGGCATGGCCCACGCAGGTCCTCGACCCGGCGAATGCGGTACCTGCTCCGATGGCTTAAGATTCCTACAAAGGCCTTCGAGGGCGACACTTGTCCAAAAAGGGGGTCTTCTGTGTCAAGGTAGATTCTGTCCGAGTCTATCCTAGAGGTTTCTAGATCAAGCCTCGTGGCGTCGTCAACGCTAAGTCCTAAATTAATTCTAGACTTCTAGAATATCCGCCAACACCGCAGAACCTCTTCCTTGCAACGTGTTAGAAACCGGGTTTTCGGATACTCAAGGAAGGTACAAGAAGATTGGTGTCTCAAGAGGTTTAGGAGTTCGTCTCAAGGTAGGTTTTAGGCTTTCGGTTTAGGATGCTCAAGCGCTGGGAATGTAGGGGCCCAGGGCCCAACGCTTGATGAGATCCACAGCACATAGTAGGCAGGACGGCAGCGCGGAGAGTTTAAGGGCAAGCCGTGGGGGTGAGAGGGTTGTCGCTAGACGTGAGTGAAGTTTAGGGTTTAGGGTTTAGGATTTAGGGTTTAGGGTTTTGGGGTTGAGGGTTTAGGATTTTGGTTTAGTTTAGCTGGGCTCCCCTTCTCTTGGAGCGACTGGGGGCACTGATTGCAGATCAGGTTGTTCTCATAGAGCGCGCGATAGGCCTTGATTGAGCTAGCTAGGAAGGCTGTCACCAATCCGAAGATTCATGTTCCGACCTTGAATAGTTTGGTTTCCATGTGATCCTCAAACCCAATATGAACTGACCATAAAACGACACTGGGCCAGGTTTAGCGAGAATAAGATGGCGGGGTAGACAGACACATGCATAGATAGAACAAAGAGGCACTCATGAATGAAGCTTGCTTGCTGTTACAACAGTATGTGTGGATACCTCCATGGTAAATACCAATATTATTCTCATTGTCACGATCATCAGCATCCTCATCGTCGTCATCGTCGTCATCAGCATCACCCGCATCATCATCATCATCATCATCATCATCATCATCATCATCATCATCATCATCATCGTCATCGTCATCGTCATCGTCATCGGCATCATCACTATCACTTTATTTCGATTCACGGACCACTTGCAAAAAAAGTTCGACCTGATGCACCCTGCGAGGAACCTCTCATAGTATCAGATCACCCGAAGTCTAAGCGCGAGACTACCAACAAGAACACAACAACCTAAACACAACAACTGCTTCATACCAAAAAAACAGGGCTGTCAAGCCCCAAACCCAAGAGCCAAAACCCTAAAGCCCCAAACTCTTCCGAAATTAGGCGTACCTTGGGGTCCTTATTCGAATGGAATCCTACTTCTTGGGGGGTCTATATTAGGGGCCCTTATTTTCGTAAACCGCAAAATCCAAAACCCAATCAAAAGCCCTATTAGGTCTCCGGCTGGAGTCTGCTCTTGCGCGGACCTGAGTGGGCTGGGCGTGGTGGATTGGGCGTGGTGGATGAGGAGAATCTGTCGGGTGTATCCAGGGTTAAGGGGACTTGGCGAATAGCCCCTACCCTGTCACCCAGGCCACTCCCCCCTCCCCTGATTACTCTCAACTTCTGCTGCCGAAGTTCCTGCTGCTGAGGCCCCTATAACGGATAGCTGCAGGGCCTGAAACCTTAAACTGCTAGAACAACTGAGGGTTCAGGCCATGAAGCTGCAAAGCCCTAAACAGGAAACACTCCTGAACCCTAAGCCTTAAACCCCTAAGCCCGAAGCTCTGAACCCTAAGCCCTAAGCCCTAAACTCTACACTGACCGGCAAAAACTCCAAAACCTTCGGGTCTATAGAGTGGAGGCTGAGGATGTAGGGATTTTTCGGCAATGGGGTTCGGGGTCTTGGGTCCAGGCACTTTTGGGGTTGGGGGTTTCTAGGGTTTGGGCCATGCTGGTCTCCAGGTACAAACCTAAACCCTAAACCCTAAACCAGTACAGAGGTGTGGTCCTGAGGCCGTCGCATAAGCGCGTCGTCATTGACGGCCTCTCAAGAACCCAAGAAACTCGTTTACCTTTGAGCCCCCAGCCCTTCAGACCCTAAACCCTTCCTTGGCAATTTCCATACAATGAAGCTGGGAAGTTCCCCAAAAACATGAGTTGAAAACTTAGATCGCTCGAGCAGACCCTCCAAGCGTTTCTCCAGTTCGCTTCCATTTGCACACACACGCACACATGCGCAAGCTTATAAACTCTTCGCAGTCAAGCCCATTTCCCCAAGTCATCCACCCCGGGTTCAACACACAAATCATAAGCTGCCCTGGAGTTTAACCTCGACCCCACAACCCCAAGCCCGAAACCCCTTAAAGCACCTCCAAGAAGGCCCCTGAAAGCCCCCTCAAAACACCCTTAGATACTAAAACTCCGTGAAGCCCCGAAAGAACGCCGCTGCCTGGCGAGCTGAAGGAGCCGTGGCGCCCGCGCCCTGGCTACTTGTAGGGTGGCTCAGGGCTCGATTTAGGGGAGAAACTTTTTGGGGTTTGGGGGTTATAGGGTTAGGGCTTAGGGTATTAGGGTGGATTCTCCGGTTTCGGCATTTCAGGCCGTTGCGGGTTTGCACCAGGATCTTGGCTACTTGTGGGAAGCCACCTGACTGGCTTGGATCAGCTGAAGTTCCCGCAAGGTTGTGCCTACGGGGCATGCTGAATACTTCCTAGAAGCTTGAACCCTAAACCCTAAACCCTAAACCCTAAACCCCAAAAATAAGACCCTATAGCATAAGCATGCCCGAGCCCGAGGGAGCTTTTTGGCTTCTGGGCTGTTGGAAAAAGCCTGAGCCCTGCACCCTACTTGGATCTTTCAGTCACCCTTCACAAGGCTTAGGGCCTAGGGCTTAGGGCTTGGGGTTTAGGGTTTAGGGTTTAGGGTTTAGGGCTTAGGGTGCAAAGATACCCGGGCGTGTCTTTACGCTGGAGCCCAGAAAAACCCACAAGTGAACGGAGACCTTCTTCAGTTCAAACGAGTCTTGCTTTGCATTCGCCGTGTGCTCAGAGCACACTCAAGCGCGGCAAGCACAGATTCAGTTTTCGGATCCGGCCCATCTGGTTAACTGCGACTGAGACTTCGCAGCGCTCGCGAGATGTAGAACCTGCCTTGCCAAGTCCTGTCCTCCCAACATTTAGATGTAGGGTTTAGGGTCAAGTTTGAAGCGCTGGGGTTCGGGACGTCAAGATTAAAGAACGCTGGCTGTGAGCTCACACTACAACCCTAACAACATTAGAATCCACATTGTGGATGCCACGTGACAAACATAACACGCGAATTACTGACATTGTCATCAACGAAATCCCTACACGGAGTGAGGCATTTGCAGCTGCGACTACCTGATGAGCACTGCCTTTCCTAGACCCCACGAAGCTCGAAAACAAAAAGACACCTCCCCCCCCCCCCCCCCCCCCCCCCCCCCAATGCCCATTCAAAAAATCAGGAAGGCGAAGCCATGTTCTGCTGCGTCGGCGGCATGTTCCCCAGCTCGGCCTTGAGACGTTTCACATACATGTTTAGGCTTTCGGGCCCAGGGGCCTAGAGGCTTGAGGGGGCTTACGGGCTTTTCAATCTGAAGACTTAGGCCTGAGCTTTGGGGGGCTGCAGGTGGCCCAGAAACGAGGAAGGAAAGCTGCAAGAGGTGCTCACCGTACTTGAAACTCGAGACCGTTTAGACCCCGAAGCCCGGAAAGCCACAAAAGGTTACCGATCTCGGTTCGACAGAAAGGTCTTGGGGGGTAAAGGGGCCTAGAGCCTAGGGTCCACTGACTGTAGTCCCTAAAGGGAAAGCTCTCGACTCGATTTGGGTTTCGGGCACCCTAACCCTAAGTCCGAAAACCCAGAGCCCGAAGCCCTCAGACCCTTAAGCACCCAAAGCCTTTACACCCAAAAACCTTCCCCTAAACCCTAACCCTAAACCTCAAAGCCTCAAGAAAGAAGCCCTTGTAAAACAAAACCACACCTCTTACACCCCCTTCAGTTACTGAGTTTGGGCCCTGGAGTTGGGAGCCTAAGACTTGGGGGGGTTTAGGGTTTAGGGTTTAGGGTTTAGGGTTTAGGGGTTAGAGTTCAGGGCGTATGGGAGTCGGGGGGTTGGGATTTGGGGTTTAGGGGTTTGGGATTTTCAGATTAGGTTCTAGGGCTTGCGAGATAGATGCTTGTGTTCATAGGGTCTAGAGGACAACAAAATAAATGGCACCACACCTGCCGTGAAGACCCCCGCCGAGAACCTGCTAACAATCCTAAACCCTACACACTAAACCCTACACCCTAAGCCCGACACCCTAAACAGAATATGCTTGCTAGCTTGCAACATGCATCGTCATGCAGGAGCGCACGCATCGTGGACCCCGAAGCTCCGTAATCTTGTTTATCTCCCTAAACCCTAAACCCTAAACCCTAAACCCTAAACCCTAAACCCTAAGGGTAGTTACATGGTCCCCTAGTATGGGCCCTCAGAAGGGGACCCCGAATATACACCCCGTATATACCCTGCACAAAGTAAGGGCCCATACATCAGAACTAATTTAAAGGAGGTTAGGGACCATCTTCAGGGGCCTTGCAACTACCCAGATTTTCTCATTTCCCTAAACCCTATAACTTGGGTTTAGGGTTTAGGGTTTAGGGTTTAGGGTTCAGGGTTCAGGGTTCAGGGTTCAGGGTTTAGGGTTTAGGGTTCCCCAAACCCTACAACTTTGACATGCTCACCACCGGGTTCGTGCCGCCCTGCGCCGACTGCTAATCAAGAGAACTTCATCACGCCAGCATTTTATTTATCGAAAGCTACCTACTCTCTGCTTAAGAAACCCAAAAGAACGCTTTAAACATAATCCCTATACTTACCCTTATAAGGAAGAATAGTGTTTATTTTTTAGGGGGCTCTTAAGCAATTAGTAGCTGCTGCCTCCCTGACCGAACCGTTCAATCCACTCGCCCTTACAGGCAGAAGCACTCCAACCATACAGCCCTACATGCAGCAACCATACAGCCCTACATGCAGAACTGCGATGGAAGGCTAGAACCCGAAGCCCTAACCCTCAAACCCCCTCAACCCCTGAGCCCTTAAACCCTAAAGCCTACAACCCTAAACCTTAAACCCTAAAACCCTTAAACCCTAAAACCCTAAACCCTAAAACCCTAAAACCCTTAAACCCTAAACCCTAAAAACCTAAACACGAAAACCGCAAAACCCTAAACCCTAAAACCCTAAAACCCTAAAAGCCTAAAAGCCTAAAACCCTAAAACCCTACAACCCTAAAAACCCTAAAACCCTAAAACCCCTCGCACAGTGTCTCAGAAAAAGGCCCGCGCTTGGACGAGCGGAGTTCGCGCCTGCAGCTATTGCAGCTAGGGCTCGGTAGGAGAGCACCGTTTGAATGGCTTTAGGGTTTAGGGTTTAGGGTTTAGGGCTTAGGGCTTAGGGTTTAGGGCCTTAGGGCCTTAGGGCCTTAGGGCCTTAGGGCCTTAGGGCCTTAGGGCCTTAGGGCCTTAGGGCCTTAGGGCCTTAGGGCCTTAGGGCCTTGGGCCTTGGGTTTAGGGTTTAGGGTTTAGGGTTTAGGGTTTAGGGTTTAGGGTTTAGGGTTTAGGGTTTAGGGTTTAGGGCCTTAGGGTTTAGGGTTGAACCTTGCGGACCACATGAGCCCTAAAAAGGTTTATGGTTCGTATACCCAAACAGGGATGATAGTATCGGGTATGTACCTCATTGTGAGGGTTTATTTGGACCAAGTCTTGCATCAACGCAAAGGTTGGTAATTCATGATGGGTCTTATAAATGTTTCTTGCGTTAGTGACTTTGGGAGCCTTGGGATCACGCTTCAAGGGGAGTGCGAAGCTGAAAGCTTCAGACTTCAAGCTTCAGGCGAGACGCGGGGGCGCGAAGCTTCAAGTTTCTGGCTTCAGGCGCTTCAGGCCCATGTTGGTGGGCAAGCCGCATGAGTCTTCCGAGCTCCGAAGTTTCCGAGCTTCGCCTGAAGCCTAGCAGTCTTGTTCACATGTATGCTGTTTGTATAGCATGTGCTACGGAGTAACTTCTCCCAACATGCCAGATGTAGGGTTTAGGGATTGGGGTTCAGGATTGAATTCTTGGGGTTTAAGGTTCAGGGGTCATGCTGTAAGATATACAGATCTAGCAAACGCAAAAATCTGAGGGTCCCCCATTACCCCCAACACAAGCAGAACTCAATCAAAGTCTCTGCTTCGCAAAGAGCACCCGTAACCCGGGTCAAGTCTTTCTATGCGGGTTTTACCCACCCTATACCCTACACCTAAAGCCTACAAGAACCTAGTCCCTGAACCCTGAATATCTATAGAGTTTGAGGTTCAGGACACCTACGTTGTCCAGTAACCTAGGAATAAAATAGGTGCACTTTTCTGCTCCCTGAGGGAGCCTAAGCCCCACAAAAGAAGGGAATAAGACTACTGGGTATCCTAGGTGAGGTCCCCAATGCAATCTCAGGGTTTGAGAGAGATTTAAGGGTCCCTTTTTGGTGTCCTTCGCTTGAAGGGTACATAGGACCCCAAAAGGGGAACCCTGCTATAGAGAGCTACCCATATACCCCTAAACCCTAAACCCTGAACCCCAAAACATCCCAAAACCTTGTATCCATCGCCATCCTGAAAAGCCACGCCTCGTTTGGCATGGCTGTGGATGAGGAGGGCCTTCCCTTCGCAAATTCAGACATTTGGGTTTTTAGGGTTTTCTAAACCCTTCTGGAGGTTGCAGGTTTAGGGTTTGGGAGAAAGGCTTCAGGCCTTACGAGTGAGGAAGACCCTCCCCCCCGCAACCCCCACCCCCCGGGTCCCTAAATCGCAAAACACGCTAAACAACTCCCGAAACCCCAAATCCCCCAAAGGTTGAGAGTTTAGGGTGTAGGGTTTAGGGTTTAGGGTAGGGAACGTTACAAAACCTGTACTCCTGCGACCTTTTAGCAGGCGCTCCAAGTTTTCCAGACAGGTTCGGAGATGATCATTAATAATAATATTTATTGCGCTAATCATGGGGCCCTGCTCGTAAGAATAAGATTGCTCGGGGCCCTCTGAAACCGGCATCTTCCGAGCACCCCCCCACCACCCCCCTCCCCCCCCACTACTACAAATGATCATTTTCTGAGCACGTCTCCAACATGGAGCTCAGGCCTTTGACCGATCCCGAGATGGTGGAGACGCCCACGGCCGGACAACGCACCAATTTGGAGTTGCGACGCGCAGCGGCCTTCGAGCCGTGTTATGTAGTCTCGCGGCTGACCTTCGCCCTTGCTCTGTCCTTTCTCTTCTCCCCAGCATTGATTCCAGTCTCCGCCCGAGTGCCAGTCATGGCCCTTTCCCTTGCCACTGCTTTCCCAGCTTGGCGCTGTCTCCGGCAGATGTCCACCCCTTGGTCGACTTGCTGCTGCCGTAGCCTTTGCCACGCCCCTTGTTGCTCTTGCGGCTGCTGCCCCGCATGGCCCACGGACGAGGTGACCTATACGCTACTCTTGAGCTTGAAGATGCCACTGTCCTGTAGCGTCAACCCGGCTCTGTCAGTGGTGTCTGCATGGCATCAGCTCGGGCACATATGCGCATGCCCACATCATCTCGGCCCAGCGAAGTTGCGCGGCCGGCGCCGGAGAACTGGACAACCAATATAAGCTCGAACTCGGCAATCTGCGGCGCCTTTACAACACGCTGCGTGGTTTCAGCGGACAGCCTTGACTTGAGGCAAACGCCCAACCTGTGCAAGAGAGCATGTTTGACTCCACGCACGTCACCGCACGATGCCCTGAAATGTTTTGCGCTTCGGGGCTTGCCGCGCCGAGGCTTGTAGCATCGTGATGGTTCGGTGAGACGATAGGCAGGCGGAGTCAGCTGCATGGCTCAGATTCGATGCACGACTCGCTCGCTAACCAACCTCATCGGAGACAAGCTTGCTCCTTCCCCGCTACCCTGCCGTCCAGCTATATATAGACGCAGGGCAAGGCGTCGGCCCCTGTCGGCAGGTTCGCGGACACCTCGATCCTCAGCACGACGTGGCCGGCCTCGCGCGCAGTCCCTCGTTTGTCCGGCTTTCTGAGATGGCGCAAGCAGGCAGGTCCTGTCGATGCTCAAAGACCATATATGCACGCGTCAAGAAACGCTAACACTTTGTAGGGTGCCACAACTCATTCAAGTTCCGGGCGGGGAAAAGGTAGATGCCGCTGTCGAGGTAGTGCAGCTGCGTGCCCTGCCGAGATGCACTTCCGCTAGACGTGTCGTCTGTGCGCTTGGGTCGCCTAGCTGCTGTAGACGAGGGCAACACCGGAAGTTGTAACGACATTGTCGCCGAAACATCACATGGCGAGACCGTCAAAACATTGAAGCAAGCCCCCGGGTAGAGGGGAACGAGATTGTCACGAAACCTCGCACGTCGAGACCGTCGAGACATCGAGCCCCGCCCCAACGTAGCGGGGAACGAAATTCGCGAAATCCCACGCGTCGAGACCATCGAGACGTCGAGCCCCACCTCAACGTGGAGGGGAACGAAATTGTCACGAAGCCTCGCGTGGTCAAACCGTTAAAACATTGAAGCTCGCTCCACAGTATACGGGAACGAAACTTTAACGAACGCATGCCCATATCATCTCGGCCCCCGGCGAAGGAGCGTGGTGACCCGCTCTGGAGGGCTGACGACTATAGCTCGAAAACTGCAATCTGCGGCGAGCGCGCTCCTCTGCAACGCGCTGTGGTCTGCGCAACATGGTCGGCTGCCTGCCCTATAATAATCCTGGTACACGGAGTCTGGCACTCTCTCGGGACTGCATGGTTCTGTGAATGAGGGCCCCCAACCGGCTGCTCGTCCTCGCAAGAATTACACGACTCAGCCGGGTCAGATTGCACGAACCAGTCTTCATTAAAAAGAATTCCTGTGCCTACAAGACTTATTAAATACTAATATTGTGCGGGATACAAGAATAGTATTGATATTGAGTCTACGGGCCAGTTAATTACTCCTTTAGGCCCGTTCTCTATTATTATTCTCTTCGCAGCCCTTTATTATTCTATTGTTATTAGGGGCCGCTATTAATGCACTAAAGGAAAGACAAAAAGGTTAGAAAAATGGCATTATTTATTGAGGCCTTTTCCCCCCATTAATAACAATAAAAGGCCCACAAAAATGAAGTAAATATAAGGGTCTTTATTGGTATTCTTAATGGTCCCTTTCTTCGCTTGGTTTTCATGCGTCCTTTCACTCCTTATAGAACCAACCTCATAAAGACAACTTACGACATCTCCCTCGATGACCAGGATTCTTTGTTACCTTTAGGATTCTCTCCAAGGAGTTCTTTATTAAGGTGTGTTCACTGGTGATTGAAGGTTTACGATTAGATTTTTTCGGTGAATGGAATGAATGTATGAACGCGTTCATTTAATTCATGCCCCCCATGCACGCTATATATATATATATATATATAATTTGCCCAATAATAATATGGCGTTGGGGCGCAAACGAGGTCTTTTATCGCACCCCCTTAAAAGCCGCAATTATTACGATGTATGGCCCGTTTATAAACTAGTGACTAGTGCATGAAAGGGCTGTTAATACTAATAACTTGTATGGGCTTTTGGGTTACGTTCACACACTACAATATTATTACAGGCGCGAGCTTCCCATAATATTATATTGTGTTCTCTTCACACCAAAATATTATAAGGGAGTGAGTAAGCGAAACATGAACGAGTTGTGTATGACGGGCGCATTAATTTCAAAAGTCTTTAAAGGGCAAATTTAGGGTGTGCACGACACGTGAATTCATGTGCTCACTTCGTTCCCTTGTTCGTTCACCTAACCTCCCTAACCTCGCGGGCACATCACATCCACAAAGCTGATAACAAAGGCTTAGAATGAGCTCACGGGACGGTTTCTATCTCCAGATCGACCGCATGTCTGGGCTAATATTAGCTCTGGGGATTGAATGGTTACTGCAGCTGGAACTTCATGCTGTTGGTTCACGAGTTGGCCGTCTATTAATGGGCTCTAGGGTAGAGTGTTGAGTGGCAGGAGTGCACAAGGAGTGATGTAGGGCTTGCCGAGACCTCGGGACTCTATCGCTGCTGTTAGGACTACAGCAGTTTTCGCGTATGCACTTAGACTACAAGATTGGAGCCTTGATGCAACAAGTAACCCTGCACCTCACAAAAAGGGGCCGTCTAAGACTCTAAGAACCCTTCAGACCTTCAAGCAAGCTCTAAGACTTGAAATCGCAACAGAGGTTCAATAGGGGTTTAGGGTTTAGGGTTAGGGGGGGTGGTTCCGAATTTACGGGTACCTTATTGGGGTCCTTCTTATAAGGGAATGTTACAATTCGGGGTATATACTCGTGGTCCCTTATATTCGTGAACCCCCCATTTGGTTTAAGGTTAGGGGTCTAGGGTAGACAAGTTGCCCGCTGCGGAGGGCAGCACTTGCGCTCGGCTTCACAGAGCCACAGGAACGAAACTTGGAGCCAAATGCTGGGGCAGCTCGAAGTCACAAGGGCCCAAGCCAAAAGTCCTGAAAGTCCTGACCTTCTGCGGCCCTGTGTCGGTTTAGGGTTTATAGGGTTTAAAGGGGTTCATAGGGTTTATAGGGTTTGTAGGGTTGATAGGGTTGAGAGGGTTTAAAGGGTTTATAGGGTTTATTGGGTTGAAAGGGTTTAGCGTATACGGTCTCGCAACATGCATCACAAGCACCCGAAACCCTTAACAATGAGTGGGGCAAGTCGGCACAAGAAAAACCCTGGACCCAAAAGCCTGCTTTGGGGTTAGCTAAACCCTAAACCCTAAACCTAAAACCAATTGATCAGCTTGATACCCCCCAGAGGCCCAGAAGTCTTTTGAGATGTGCCCAATACAATTCCCAACTCCAGTCCCATCTACCAATGCCAGCAGCTCTACACACGGACGAGGAACCTGAAAGCGAGCCTTGTGAAGTTTAGGGCTGAAAGGGTTTAGAGGTTTAGGGCTCAGAGTTTCTTGCGGAGGAGGTTAGGGCGGAAGGGGTTTAGGGTTTCAGAGTTTAGAGTTTAGTGGTTTAGGAGTTCAGGGCTTCAGGGTTGGGAGTTTGGAGTTTCGGGTTTGGGGGCTTTGGTCGGTGAGTTCGGACAGCGGGTCGGGTCCCTCACCGAGAAGCTTGGTTCAGCACTTATCAGGTCTGGGATTTGCCTTCGAGGCTCTCTGACATGCAGCTGAAGCGTTTAGGGCTTCGGGTTGAAGGTTTGAAGTTTCGGGTTCAGGCGGGAAGGTTTAGGGTTTAGGGTGGCATAAGCAAAGAAACTCGGAGAAAGCAACAACGTCATCTTCAGCTACCGTATGTTCAAGACGCATCCGACGCAGAGTTTCCACGACAACGTTGTCATCACATAGCTTTATCTTTCGGCGGTCACAACTGCACATACGGGTACGTACTCTTGTCGTGTGTAGATAGATATTGCTCACAGCCACAATGCTTTTGTGACAGTTGCACGAGCGCGCCGATGAGCACAGAAGCTTTCCTGCTGTACAAGCCGTTCACTGAATCTAAGGGCAGTTCCACGGTCCCTTCATGCGGGCCCTGGACCCCTTGTGTATCCCTTACCCAATACTTCAGAACCCTTTAAACTTTAAAGGGCGATAGGGACCATATTAAGGGACCATGAAACTACCCCTT